CATGACGTTTATCTCCAATTAGATATATGTGATGGCCTCAGACCAAAAATTTCTTATGCCATACCAAAATCTTGGAAGGATTTGATTGAAGAATGTTGGAATGAAAATCCAAAAAAACGGCCTAATGCTAATCAACTTGGCAAACAACTTAAAAAAATAAGAAGACGTGGTGCAAAATGGATAGAAAAAGATATTGATGAAAGTGAAACAGGTGAAGTCAAAACGGAAGTTAAAAGACAAAGTCTTCATCCAGATGCCATTTACACAAGCAGATTAATTCCTTACCTTAGCAACACATCAACAATACACAATGATGATTTGTTTACACCTAGTTAGGTTTCATTTGAATTTTAAACAATTTGTACTTTTTGGTCTTAAATATTTTTTTACTTAGATAATTCTACGAGAATAAATGATAAATTCGGCTCTATCTTTCGATAGCAATGAGTCTAAATAAAAATGTATTTCTAAATATTTTATACAAATATATTTGTGCGTAAATAGAATAAATTTTTAATAAGAATATTATTTTTAAATCCTTCTTAATATTAAAGACTTAATTGGGATGTCTTTGTATTTCCCATCTAGACATGCATGTACTGGTATTCAGATAATGCGATTTCTGGAAGAGATATTGTCGGAGAGTATATATTCCGATGCATTTTTCAATTGAAGTTCGAGGCATCAATTGCCCATTCTCTCGAAGAGATATAAAAATCAACTGCGTCGTTGCTATAACTCGGGTGAAGGCAGTCATGTCTTCATCATCTTCTTTATTCTTCTCTCTTCACTATCCCCAGCTTCGTCTTCTTCATCCTCTTTTTAAAATATTATGAAAAACAAGAAAAACACGCGTTGCTGCTGCGGTTGCCGTCGTTTGTTGCTCAAGAGAAAAGTCGTGAGTATATCTTTACAAAATTAAAGGTGTATATGGGAACGATAAGCAACCTAGCTAGAAATGGAAGGGATTCCAAGAAAAGAAAGTGAGAATAACGATAAGAGTAGTGTATTATTATTGTAAAGAAATCTGTCACTTCTTAGGAATTCCAAGAAGAAAGATAGAAATTTAATTATATATTTACGATGATTTATCATGAAGCTTGCAAAAGCTAAACTAAATTGTATTTATATATTTGAAATTACATGTACAAGGCAAACTCGTTAAGACGAAGTCACGCTAAGCCGAAATTGCATTAAGCCGAAGTTTTTCTGGTTTACCAAATTTTTTATTATATAAATTCGGCTTTGTCTTAATAAGCCAAATAAATTGTCTCTGCCCCCGACCTTCGTCTTATCGAGTTTGCCTTGTATTACATGTATAATACGAGGTTCATTTCTGTTATAAAAAGGGGTTTCCTTAAAGCAAGGCAAGCCGTTTAGCCGGTTTAGCCACACATCCGCCACACATTTGATCTGCACGAAAATAGCCAATCAATATACTAGCCTTTAACGGGACTTTTTTTAAGGGAAATTCAAAACAAACTACATGTAATTTTTAGGATATTCTAAAGAGCTGTAACAGTGGAAATAATGACTTTCATCTAGAAGTATATTATTAATGCGTAACGTCACTGATTGGATTTAGTGTTCAAGCAAAAATAAAAAATCTAACCAAAGAAAAATTTGTACTTCTGAGTTAAATGAAAAGCCATATACTAATGTTGCAGTTGTGAGATTCAAAAATTCATAAAAGAAATGAATTTGAACGACGAAAAGAAAATTGTGCTGAAATCATTACTCAATAACTACGAAGAATTTGAATTGGGGTTAAAATTAGGTTATTTATATTCGATTATCTCTAACAACAATTCACAGAGAAATTGTTCATCGATTTTTGAAAATTTGATCGTTTGAGAGAACTTCGTTTGAAAATATTCATTTTTACCTCCAAATCATAAATTTGTCAATAATAAAACAGCGAAAATAAATTAATCAATTAATTGTTCGCGATTGATAGTAAGAAGTTAATCAATTACAATATAATACCAACATCAATATTTCCAATTAAGATGAATCCTAAAGGTTGAGATAGCTTTGGCTATCATTTTTGTTTCTTCTTTAAGATTACCCGAAAAAATCAAACCAAACGTTGTTAATTTTTGAAAAATAGTCCTGTATCTCAAAATTTTATCTAATAAAAATGTTCCTTGCGAAAATTTTTTATTAGATCACACGCGAAATTTATCCTCAACACCGATCCTAACCCTTACCTTTGATATGCTATTATTTCATTTCTTGCGATTTGATCTTTTATTCGGTTATACAGCTCAAATAACCGACTATCCGATCCAAAGTACATGTACTGTGAAATTTTTCTGGCTACGCTGGGGTAATCCGTAGTTTTACGATTTGTATTTGTTTTTGTAAATATAATATAAATTTTAATAGTCGCCTTTAAAAATTAAATAATTAATAATTAGGAAATTTTTCAAGATCAAAGGATTTTGTAACAAACAGTGTTGCAAAAGTCTTTGGACAATCGTCGTTCAAAATCAAATTGATGTAACTAGCTCAATTTCGATCCAAACTAGACCAAATAAAAAGGGATAAGATATTTGGTTCTTTTTTTGCCAAATTTTGTTGATATATTTTCTAAAAAGAGCGAACGAAAATGCCGACGACCAGGAAAAATACCCATGCCCAAACTATTGAACATTTCTGGCTTCAGGGCAAAAGTGCAGGCGAAATACATCGCCTAACGGTCGACTATCTACTATAACATTTCAAAATTGAAGAAACCCGAAGTACAGCCCACAAAAAACGCAACGGTCGTCCCACAAAAATCATACCTGAATGCTCAAGATTCATTGGATAGATTGTTCGGAGAAATCCTACGATATCTTTAAGAACATTGACCACAAAGTTATTCAAAAAAAGTACTCGGGTATCTTATAGTACACTTTCAAGACATTTAGCCAAACATGGCTTTGGCAAAAGTCTCCCTATGACGACACCAATGCTCACGGTGGCACACAAGGAAAAGCGGATAGAATGGGCGCAAAATCACCTCAACGACAATTAGAATCGGAGAGTATTTTCTGACGAAACAAGTTTTCGGCTATTCAGAAACACTATACAAGTTTGGTGCAAGGGTGAACGGCCAGTTCATCGCATCCCAAAAGACCGAACAAAAGTTAATGCTTGGGGCGGGTTTTGTACAAAAGGTAAAACGAGTCTTTTTTGCTTCCGAGAAGATATGACCGGTCTTTTCTACGTCAACTTCCTAAAGAAACATGTTCCCGAGATCAGAGGCAACGATCCGAAGCACACAAGTGGTGTGGCGAAAGAATATCTTCAAAATAACTTCCCAAGAGTAATTGATTGGCCGTCCAACAGTCCCCCATCGAAAACTTATGGAGTATTATCAAGAGGAACGGAGATATGACAACCAAAAAATATTCCAACTTTTTATCAATAATTTAGTGAGGTCTATGAAAGAGCGTTGTAAACTTATTATTGAAAACAATGGCGAACGTATCCCTTATCAATTTTTTAAAATAATCTCGTGCTTTTCAGCTTTCGAATGAATCATTAAACGCGTGATTTGGATCAGCCATTGTGGCGCAATGGTCCAATGATTTTGTCCAAAGACTTTTGTATTGCTATTTTTATAGGGATCGTTAAAGCAAGGTAGACGACATTTTTTTAAAAATTTTGATTAGAAAACATTTTAGTATCTCTAAGTATATGTAAAATTTGACTCCGAACATTTTTATTTAGTGACTTTGAAGTGGTCGTCATAGTAAAATGTTGAATTATTTACGATTCTTCACTTTTTAAATGTTTATGTTACACATGATCTTGCGATTCGATTGGCCCAATTTGAAATTTGATTGGCTCACCTCCCCTTTATAACAATGCAAGTAATGATAAACAAACGCGATAACGACTGATAAATTACGATAAACAAAAGAGCGCTAAAAACAGCCATATTTTATTAAAGTGATAAATCTGATTTAGCATTATGCAATGCTACATGCAACAGAACATTTTTTCGCCATGAATTTACAATTATCTTGCGATTTGATTGGTTTACCCCTTAAAAAGTATTTTCAAATCATGTGGTGCAGATCAAATTTATCTGACTTTTTTTTCACGTAATCACGTGACTAGGTTATTGTTTGTCATCACAAGAAATTGCGTGATCGGAGAAATAACTCCCTAAATGTAGTTTATCTGTTGATCACTCTGGCTGGGTTACACGTTCCTTTTTCCCTTTTTAGATAATTATTGTTTGTGTTGCTTATCTGTTTATCTGCACGCGTGAGTACCTGTATCTGTATTTAAGAAAATCCTGTGTGGTCTCTAACCTTTTTTTCCATTTATTATATCCACCGGATACCGATACTGTATCTCGAACGTTATTGTATCGCTCACAAAAGCAAATTATATTCAATATATCGATATAACATATTAACATTGGGAATAACTCACGTTTTTTGTCATTTAGTGTAACTTTCACATTATGGAGAACAATAAGGTAAAATAAAAAAATTTCCCGTTTTTTTCGTCTGCATAAACAAGATGCTAACGATGGTGATAATATCAAAATAATAATAAAAGCCTCAAATTTACGAAATCCTTACCGGCGACTGCATCCTTACAATATTGCAACGACTAATAATAAGCATTAAAAACTATCACGTCAGCATCAACAACATTAATCTTAGCCTCTATGACTGTCTTATTCAGTGTTTTGCGATCATCATTTTTATCTGGTGTATAAATAGAATAATTACATCATGTGCTGGAAGACGACGACATAACCATGTGTACCACGTAGGCCGCAACTGTTTCCAAAGCAACTACATAATTTTCCGAGACAATATCATTCAAGACGAAGACGACGACGACCTCGAATATATGCAAGATTCACAAGATTCACGGATATCGAGATTAACCATGACAGAGTCGTCATCATTGGAAAATAATAATGAGGAATTATGCACGCAAATCGACGACTTGACTCGAATGTTTGAAACGCATTCGATACGTGATAATAATAATTCTAACTATTATTATTACTGTCATTATAATGATAACCATGCGAAGTACGATAATAAATTCCAACAGGATGTTGAATTCACCGACTATATTCCAGAAATCTACGAATATGATATAAATAAAACGAAGACGCGGCTGCCACGAGATGAAATTGATGAGATCGTGGAGAATCTGATGAACAAGTTAAAAACCTAAAGCGATGTTTAATATCTTGTAAAAGGCATTATTATATAAGTAACTGTACCACCATAGATTGTTTAAAATCAATAAATTTAATAAATTTTTTTTATTTTGCAATACATTATCAACCCTAATCCTAATACATAGTATAATCTCCGTTAGCCTCTATTAAGGATAAAACGCGTTGTTTCATACTTCGAATCAAATTTTCAGCGAGTTTATTTGGAGGACTTCGCCATTCTTCTTTTAATGCCATCTTCAAACCATTAGTGTACGGATTTTTTTTTGCCAATATTGATTTTCATGATTCGCCAAACATTTTCAATAGGATTTTGATCTGGAGACATTGCTGGCCAGGGAAGTTCTTTGTTAACGTTTTCAGCCTTCCATTTTTCGCGATTTTTGACCGACGTTTCGGATCATTATCTTCTTGTAAGATCCAATCTAAGTTATCCACCCCCAAAAGTTTGTTAGAGGAAGATAAAAGTCCTCTTTCATAGACATTACACATAAATTTGGCATCAAGATTTCTCTGAAAACACATTAGCCCACCAAATCCTGAAGCTGAAAAACAGCTCCATACATTCAACTTAAGTGGATGCTTCACAGTTCAGAATACGATTCTTTTTCCAGGTAATTTTCACACTTTTCTTGTTGGTTAGTTTAAATGAAAGGTAGATTCATCAGTAAAAATTACTTTTTTTCAGTTGAAATTTATATGTTCTTTCGCCCATAATAGCCATTTGACTTGATGATCGTGTTTTCACAAAGATGCCATCTGATGGTATATACATATACTGATATTTATATTTTCCTTTGCAATTTTTTGTTGAATATTGGAACTTACTAAAGTCATTTTTTGTACATGTTTTATTTTTCTGTCTTGATTGATTATCATTTTACGTTTTTGGCCAGTTTTTTTACGTGGAAGGGTCATTTTTTATGGCAAACTGGAATTTCTAATATTAAAGTAATACGAGTATAGTTTATTACACAAATACATGTAGTGACTGTGATGATTTACAGTGGTACAGTTACTTCTGTACATGTCAAAAAAGTTGATACTCGTATTCTATTAAGGTACATACAATTCAATTCTTCGTAATTACAATTTGTAATTTGAAATTAGTTTCGACAATTTGCTATTTTTCGTTTGGAAAATTCATATAATTTATCATAAATTAATTAAAGAAGGTGTTGCATTAGCAAAAAAACTATCTATTGCATCAGCAAAATCCTTGTGAACCTGTGTAGTCGGATGAAACTGATCCCAGAAAGAATGAGTTGTAGGATCCGGGCACACAGTTCCAGTCGACAAAATAAAACAAGGATCCACGAAATCACTTAGACCAGTGAGTGATTGTGGGGCAGTTTGCAAACCGATGTTAAAAAGATCCACAGAAACATTCCACACAACCACATCCGGATACGTATCGACGAAACTTTGCACAGCTTTCTGAAGATAGAAATTGTGCTTTACGTGGACATCCTGCGCTTTTTGGAGGAGTTCTTTCGAGGCGTTTTTGTTAAAAGGTAAATGTGAAAAATCGCCAACATTTGGAATTATAAAGTTTCGCAGATTTTTCTTGTAGAGTGTTGTCCAGGCTTTTGAAAGGCGGTCGACTACTTTTTGTGGGTCAACTGTATAATTTGTATCTAGGTAATCGTTACCAACTGACCATATCTATTAGATTATTAAATATACATGTAAAATATTAGCTTAGTTACTTTTAAATTAAATGGAAAAAAATTTGAAATTACCGAAACAAGCGTTTTTTGAGTTTTTGCATCAGCCGGCAAAGTTGCCACATAGGTATCTACTTGCTGTACGATACCTGGCACACTAACGTTGAAATTTGCTCCTGTAAAGCCTATTAATAAAATATATTAGCAAAAATAATTTACAAATATAAACTCATAATTTTTTTACCTTGAGTTAAATTACTACTACAACGTAGATGTAGAAATCAAATGTTAATAATTAAAACTCTTAGCTGCTCAATTTTGTATAAAATTCGAAAAATAAAACTCACTCTACAGTCGCGCCACCAAACGCGTAATTTTTTAAAGTCAAGTTCAATTTAGTTGCGAGATATTCTACCCATATTGGGCCATTTGAAAATCTTCCTTTAAAATACACTGGAAGTGGCCAGGTATGATTTGTAAGATTATACGAGTTTCCGGTGTCTGATGAATGGTGGTTTTATTGGTTAAATTTCCGGGCGGATAATTTAGAACATGTATCGTACAAATCAGTGATTTTACCAGAATATGAATCACCAAACACGAGGAATGAATCAAATCGACTTTTATCAACGTTTATTGGACTTGCATTTATGATCGCGACAGCATAAATCATCAAAAGCAAAGTTGTGATAAAGGAATCGCAGGTTTTGCATTTATTATTTGAAGACAACATTATTATTAATATTTGGTGCGTTTAAATTCCTATAAATCCTAAATTTTTCAGGGAATATTTAAGCTTTTTTGTCAAGCACTAGTATTCTGAATTATACACGTATCCTTTTTGGCTATACTATATTATTTATCCTTTTATCATAATTGAAAGAGGCGTTTAATTTTTCAATGTAATTTTTTTGTTATCGATAAGCTTACTAATTGGAGGCTGTTGCGTTTAGGGGAGTATGACGTTATTCATTCATCACTATGGATGATTAGAAAAAGGCAAGTCCATGTATTGATAAGCTCCGACACAATCAATAACGATAAAGAAATCCCTTGGCTGCGCAAAGAGTTGATGTGCAGACTACGCATCAAATGATAGAAATCACTACAATGGGAACTCAAATGAATTTGCTTATTTCATTGACTTTACCATAAATGCTGTTGTTTACGAATTGCATGTATTGTTTTAATTTAAAATGGGCTTTTTAATTCTTTTGAACTTAAATATATTCGATACATCACAACTGTTGAACTTAAATCCCGACCGGTTTAATGAGTCTTCACATGGCTAGTTATCAACCGAACTAACTTCATTTTCAATTTTAATTAATAACCTGTGAACCATTCCGAATGCGAACAGCAAATGAAGGAGTACATTATATATCTTGTCTCTCACCTCATCCCAACTCTGATTTTAAAATAATATTAAACACTTTTACCGATCCTCCACATCAATATAGGTAAAATTGTATACGAAAATATTGGCATGTACATGTAATGGGCTGCGAGTCGAAAGTGATTCGTATTATCGATAATTATGTTCACTGTAAACATAATTTTCTATAATGTATTCTTTAATGGATCTACCCCGAATCCCGAAAGCAAAATCCCGATACCCAAAATCCTGACTTCCTAAAATCCCCGATATTCCCAAAATCCCGAACGCCTCAACATCCGGACATACTATAATCCGGACATTACACTCAAAATTATGCAATAAAACATTGATGCGAAATGTAGCATGTACATAGGCGCGTGTAATAAATAATGATTACCATTATCGTAATGATTGTAAAGGGTGAAATTTCTATTAGCCTTACATTACCCTTACCATTTCATATACATATCTTTACACTTGTTTCTATTTATTTTTTAGGAATATCGGGATGTTGGATATGACGGGATTTTGGGAATGTCGGGATGTTGGGCGTTCGGGACTTTGGGTATTCGGGATTTTGGACGTTTGGGCTTATTGATGTTCGGGATTCGGTGATTCGAGATTTCGTACCAGACCCATATAAATGAGAGAAATCCAGATTGACCTATTATATGCTGTCCATGGGCGTCACTTTAAAAAGATCAGGTTTAGAAAATCGACTTTTATTTCGAAATAACGCACATGTGCGTACTCGAAATAACGCGTAGCTGCCTGTTATTTCGCGGTTTTACAGTAACTGAAATCGAATAATTAAATTAGGCTCTAAATTTTGATTGGTTGAGCAGTAATATGTGTCGCACGTGATTTTAATTGATATACTTAAAATAGAAAAAAAAATACATGTACAATACATATCGATATCAATAAAGTCTAAAAATAAGGTAAACCTTTGTTCTAATAAACTAATTATATGTATTTATTGTTATCCTCCTATTTAGAAACGTTAAATAAATAATCAATGAAATGAAAAATGATGTCGAAGAGATCCTCCATATCAATATAAGTAAAGTTGTGTACGAAAATATCATGTCATAGTTTTCTATAAATGGCATGGGCGTTATTTCGAAAATCGCACTCTTTAAAAATAGCATAACAATAGTGATAGTTTGGTTTCAAAAATAACGTCCCGAAATAACGCGTACCTTACCAGATGTTACATGCAGTAATTATTAATTAGGGCAAGTCGTATAATGCATTCCTTAATGGATCTACCCAAATCCCGAAACCAAAATCCCCGATACCCAAAATCTTGAATTCCTAGCATTCAAAATCCCGAATGCTCAACATCTCGACATTCCGAGATACTAAAATCCGGACATTACATTCAAAATTATGCAATAAAACATTGATGCGAAGTGTAACATATACATGTATATAGGCGCGTATATAAATAATGATTACCATTATCGTAATGAATTGTAAAAGGTGAAATTTGTACTAGCCTTACTATATCTTACACTTGTTTCTACTTATTTTTTAAGAATATCGGGCGTTCGGAATTTCGACCATGGGCTTATGAATGTTCGGGATTTCGTACCAGACCCATAGAAATGAGAGAAAATCCAGATTGACATTCTATTATATGCCGTCACTTGAAAAGATCAGGTTTAGAAAATCGACCCTTTATTTCGAAATAACGCACATGTGCGTATTCGAACTAACGCGCAGATGCTCGTTATTTCGCGGTTTTGAAATCGAATAATTAAATTGGGATTCTAAATTTTTATTGGTTGACACACGTGATTTTAGTTGATACTCAAAATAGAAAAAAAGTACATGTACAGTATATATCGATATCGATATCGATATTACATGTAATAAGTCTAAAAATAATGAAACCTTTTGTTCTAATAAGCTAATTATATGTATTTATTGTTATTCTCCTATTTTAGAAACGTTAACATGAATAATCAATTAAATGAAAATACTGTCGAGAAATATATATATATATATTATACAGTGGCGACCAAAAGTAATGACTCCGGGGCTAAATTTACTAATAAAACATAGTGAAAATTGAAATTTTCTCTCTATATTAAAATTTATAATTTTAGTAAGAAATAATTTTTATTTTTATATTAAAATAAAGTTTATTAGTTGTAGTTTAACATATATTTTTTTCAGATTTTTT